GAGGCTCTCTACCTCCAGGTACAGGGTCTGTTTATAGCACTGCGGGCAGCTTTCTGGATACCCCAGTGGACAAGCTACTTGAAGAGCTCAACAGCGACAGTCTGTCTTCCGGGTTCGAGAACATTGCCCTACGTGAATCGGCATCCGGACTCCCTGAAGAACTTATATTGACCAAGGTGGAAAGTTTCTCGTCCCAATTCTCGGGCAGCTTCCAAAAGGAGCCAGCATCCCGCCGGTTGAAGGTCTCTACATTGGCGTCTACCGAATTTGGAAGTGCCCACAAATGCAATACAGCTTCCCTGGCAGTATACATCGTGGACCAAGAGGCACAGAAATTAACTATTGTGAATCTGAGGGCCGACCGAGAGCCAACTCCTAAGAGCCGAAAGAAAAAGTCCAAGACCGCCGAGCAGCGTCCGTTACTCGTGCGTGCGGTAAGGATCCAAAATGTGTCAAATGTATTGGATGCTTGTAGAATCTCCGATGGGGATCTTTCGCGAATACTCTCGCTGAGTGAAACGGAAAGCGGACACCGCGAGTTATCATTGCAAACACTGTGGGGTAGTCCTGTCAAAGTTGAGGTTCCTGTGCCACTGCAGCTGTATGAACCGGATGGCATCTCTGCCAACAAACTCGAGAGTCGCCCGAGAGAAAGTGGTGTTAACCGGGTCATGGCAGATCCCGACCTCGTCTTCAACAAGTTTGATCATGGGTGCTCTCGAGGGAAGATCGACCTGGTGGACACCGATAAACAGCGTCACAGACTCCAGATTCGAATGGAGCCTCGCAACGAACTGGTGAAAAAAATACTCAAGATCTGCAAGTTTGCCTTGCGTGAGTCTGAGAAAGCGGGCGATGGAATCATGGTCGCATGGTGGGAGGTCATGAAATGGCTTCGGGGCAGGGAGGAAAACAACATTGAGTGGACTGCCATGACGGTCGTATTGTTGAGTCTAGCAGCCCCATTCGTCACCCCTCCACACATCCAGACTCCCAAACGAGTGCGTCGCAAGAAGGGTCTACTCAGATCGAGTAGTGGGGGACACCTAGATTTGGAAAGCTGGGAGACCATGCTGGACCTGGAGTCTGGCTCATCCGGTGTCGTAGCTCCGTGGATGATGGACAGTTCTTGGGGGTGGATTGTTGAACAAGACGCAATTGAGAGCCTCGCATCAGGAGATGCACCCAAAGGAACCAATGCAAGTCGATCTACATATCGCCAGAATTCGTACTTGATCCGGTGCATCGCCCTCAGCCGTGAATTCCTTCAAACTCCCCAAGGCCTTAGGGCTGCTGGCCGCGACGGCTACCTCCCTATCTCTGAAGCATTCTCAGAGAACACAAGATGTACTGCACTGTGCAGTGTGCTTGTGGCCTTGCATCTATTGCGTGAAGAACAGAAGCTCTCCACCTGCGATTCGGAGGAGTCGCAAAGACCTCTGGGGCTGCTTGCTCCCGTCATCGCACAATTAGGTGGCTGGCTAGGATGGGAATCCTGGAAATGGACCGAGGATGCCTATTATGGTACCGAAATGGCCAGTATGGAGCGCTGGCAGTTTGAGGATAATACCCATATCGCTCAACTGAAGGTTCCCGCCGAACCCTTCCCGCCTCCATCCATATTCGAATTTCTCATGGGTGCTGCTGCTCATCGGAGCCCTACGCCGTTTGTTTCTCTCCTCGATATTGTGAATGCATCCGAGCGAACTCCCAGGAAAGGGCGAATGTGGCGTGAATGTTTCAGTATCACACCAAGGACATGTGCATTGAATGGCTTCTTCGCCGAAGTCCACAGTGTATCAACACCCTTGGAAAAGATAAAGCTACTGCAACGTTGGGGGTTCACAAAGAGTGTCATTGATAGCTTCCCAGAAGGCGTCAGCACGCCGCTCTATGAAGCCGTTATGCAATGCCAGATCGAAGCCTCCACCTCTTGGAACGCAACGCTCCTGGAGATGATTGACAGAGAAGACCTTTACATGTCGATGAACCCGACTCAACCCAATTCATTGCCAGCGCCACAGCAGCCCAACCATAATGCCATCCGAGATTATCACTATATCAGCAGCTCGGCATTAGATATTGATGCCATCAACGCCTTTGAGGCCTCTGCAGAGGCTGATCGATACTCAGTCACCAGGCTAATATTCCGAGATGATAAGCGAGTTATGGAAGCATCTAAACTGCTGAATCAGTCCAAAGCACCGGTGGCAGAGTGCATAGCCGAACCTGGCTGGAGTGACTCGGACTTGTTAGAGGCGCAGAAAGAAATCGTGCAGCTCGTGACAGTTCGGACGTTGTCTACTCCAGCGGGTCGTGCGATGCTCACTTTTAGTGGCCGATTGCCTTTGCTGACTGAGAAACTGCCGATTCCTTCATTTTCCCTGCAGTGCGTCATGAAGCCGGACAATGTGACAGTCAGCGCGGATAAATCTGCGTTCTCGGAAGAAAAGGTCTGCTGGGCCTTCTTCCACAACGGAGTCTCAACCGGTCTGGCAATCTCCAAGGCTTCCAAGGGTATTGACACGTCGTGGATCTTGTTCAACAAGCCACAGGATCTTACCAACCGGCATGCCGGGTTTTTGTTGGCTCTGGGTCTGAATGGCCATCTCAAATCGTTAGCCAAGTGGGTTGCTTTTAAGTACCTAACTCCCAAGCATACCATGACATCAATTGGTCTCCTGCTCGGTCTCTCTGCATCATATATGGGCACAATGGATACTCTAATCACACGCTTGCTTTCGGTACACGTCACAAGAATGCTTCCACTTGGAGCAGCTGAGCTGAACTTGTCACCGTTGACTCAGACTGCTGGAATTCTGGGCATTGGTTTACTTTACTGTGGCTCCCAGCATCGTCGTATGAGCGAGGTCATGCTCTCTGAAATCGAGAACAGTGAGCAGGACGAGCAAGCTGCTGCCACCGGAGAGGAACTCCGCGACGAAGGATATCGTCTGGCTGCAGGCTTTGCCCTTGGTTTCATTAACCTTGGCAAAGGCGATGATTTACGGGGCATGCGCGATATGCACATTGTTGAACGGCTATTGTCAATCGCCGTCGGCACCAAGACCGTCGAAATCGCTCATGTCCTCGACCGTGCCACGGCCGGCGCGACCATTGCCCTCATGATCATCTTCATGAAGACCAACGACTCGGTACTAGCCAAGAAGATTGATATCCCCGATACCACTGTTCGCTTCGACTACGTGAGGCCAGATCTGTTCCTGTTGCGAACACTAGCACGACACTTGATCATGTGGGACAGTATCAAGCCCACTGCTGAATGGATCAGTCAGAGTCTGCCCGAAGTCTACCGAGGACGATCACGACTCACGGATGTGCGCCGGCTGCGCAGCGAAGATATGCCATTCTTCAACATCATTGCAGGCCTCTGCTTTGCCGTCGGTCTCCGCCATGCTGGATCAGGACAAGCACAAGCACGAGATCTTTTGTTGTTTTATCTAGATCAGCTCATCCGCATCTCACGCCTACCTGTGCGAAGCTACGATGCTAGACTCGCTCGCAATTCAGTTCGGAACTGTCAAGATGTGGTGGCTCTGTCTGCAGCGGCAGTCATGGCTGGCACGGGTGATCTAGCTCTGTTCCGGCGTCTGCGCTCGCTCCACGGTCGAATCGATGCCGATACGCCATATGGCAGTCACATGGCGGCACACATGGCTATCGGAGTACTCTTCCTCGGCGGAGGCAGCTACACACTTGGCACATCCAACCGGGCTGTGACCGCGCTCATCTGCGCATTCTACCCGATCTTCCCAACAACTGTCCTTGATAACAAGTGCCACCTCCAAGCCTTCCGCCATCTCTGGGTTCTTGCCGCTGAACCACGTTGCCTCGTCCCTCGTGACCTTGATACCCGCCGCCCAATCTCCATCCCCATTACCATAACATCTCATGACGAGACCACCCGCACCGTCAGCGCCCCCTGTCTACTGCCAGACCCCAACCACATTGCCCGTATCGAGATTCGCGGACCAGATCACTGGCCGCTCGTTCTAGATTTCAGTCAGAACGATGCCCTACGCGAGAAATTCCTCCGCGGCGACCCATCCGTCTACCTTCGCCGCAAGGCAACCTACAGTCCAAGTTCCTCAACCTCCATCTTCGCCTCCACCTTGACCGGCCTCAGTGAAGCCCAGGACATCCTCCCAACAACCGCCGGTCCTCTCTCAAACCCAGCTAAGGGCCTCCCACCTTCGGCATGGCCAAATTGCACGGCTCTACTCACCGGCAAGCCATCTGCAGCGATGACTCCATCTCAAAACCCCTGGGACTGGGTCTTCCACCTCCCCTCTCTACAAGATCTCGACATCCGCGAGCGCTCCCTCGTCCTCCCATCTTCCTTCCCGATGCGCTCCACACGTATCACCACCGATCTTGTCTCTGTACCGCCTTGGCTGCGTACCTCAGCCGTAGATGCGAGACTTGCTTTGTCGCACACCGTGCGCAACATCGTGCAATCCGCACGCGGCCGCGGCGCTGATCCGGATCAAATTCGTGATCGGATTTGGCAGCTTCGTCTGTTATTTGATTGGCTGGATCGTACTCAGCCTGGCGATGAACGCGACCATCTTTCGAGCAGAGGGTTGCTATCTCCGGCGCAGGGTCAGCCGTCTGGGCTGTGGTTGCGGAGAGACTTTGTTGAAGAAGCTAGGTGGCAGGTTTGGGGTGTGCAAGTTGGAGATCTTGAAGGAAAGACAAAGATATAATTGTATTCGCATTAGGAAGAGAGATCAATTCCCCAATACTTTGTCTATTTTTCCATTTCTTATTTTTCTTCTTCTCCAATATAAATTCCCCGGAAGTCCACCTGGGCATCTCCGCAGAGGGGCAACTGATAAGACAATCCACAGCTTCCATCCCGTCATCTCTCTCTCTATTTGACTTCTCTTGAAATCATCTCAATCCTAGTCGCATTCCAGTTTCAGTCTCATTCCCAATCCCAATTGCAGTCGCAATTGCAATTCCAATCAAACCAAACTATGACCAATCCTCCTCAAAAGCAATCCCCCCCAAAGCGGAGTGAGTCTCCAACTCCAATCCCCCAAAGACACAGAACAACCAAGATCCGAGATCCAAGATTCAAGAATCCAAAGCTAACAATCTCAACAGTATGGGCATCTTTAATAACAAACATGTCCTACCTCCCAGGCCTTCTAACCCTGCACCACTCCCTCAACCACCCCTCCCCAGACCCAAGGATTACAAACCAATCCGCAACCCAAGGAACAAAATACCCATTTGTAGCCTTCTACACCTCAACCTTCCCAGCCGAAGGCCTGAAAATCCTCCAAAGCCGCAACATCTCATCCCAATGGGTCCCATCAGTGACGCCCGCCAGCACCCGCAGCTACGCCAAAGACCCACGCTTCGCCGAAACATGGAACAAGCTAGTCGTCTTCTCGCTGGAGCAGTATGAGCGCGTAGTCCTCCTCGACGGCGATATCCTCGTCCGCCGGAACATGGACTCGCTGATGGAACTACCGCTCGACGACGAAACCGATGCCGAAGGTAGTCGGGTGTTCGCGGCTGCCCATGCTTGCGCTTGTAATCCTATGAAGAAGGCACATTATCCTGCTAATTGGTATGTAACACATATCTCTCGATATGAGAGATCAATACCTCCTTTGCATACGCGGTACTAACATTGAGCAGGATCCCCTCGAACTGCGCTTACACAAAACAACACTCCACTCCCGCCGACGCGCAAAGCATCGCGCCACCTCCAGGCTCCGGTGTCGGGATGCTGAACAGCGGGGTGTTAGTCGTCCGGCCTTCAGCGCGGGTGTACAGCGAGATCACTACTGCGTTGCAGGAGACGGCGCGGATTGAGCGGTATGACTTCCCTGATCAGGAGTTACTGTCTGATTTCTTTGCTGGACGGTGGGTTGCGTTGCCTTATGTTTATAATGCGCTCAAGACGTTGCGGATCGAGGGTGTGCATGATTCTATCTGGAGGGATAGCGAGGTTCGGGCTGTGCATTATATCTTTGCTAAGAAGCCTTGGCATGAGGAGGTTGTAGAAGGGGGTGATTTGTCTGGATTGGATGAGACGGGGGTTTGGTGGTGGAGGGCTAATTGGGAGAGGATGATGGCTGAGAGGGGGGTTGGTGTTTTGGATGAGTTTTCTGGGTCTGAGTGATATTTTGTAAATTTACTGTAGATTTTGATAGATTTGTAGATGAATTGCGGCTACGAGTAAATACTCTGTACAGTTTCGATGTTCAAGTTCATATTGATAGTGAGTGGTATTGATATTGATATCGATATCGATGTCAATCTGAACAGCTCCTATGCCAGATGCAATACATGCAGGTCGATCTAAGTATATCCATGCAAGGGTGCAGTCTGCATCAACGTCATCAAGCGTCAAGCATCAAGCATAACGCATTCTCATCTGTTCAATTCCAATTAACCATCATACCCAACAGCCTGGAGCTCTTTCCGCACCGCATCCTCGGTCTGGATCTTCTTCATCTGCGTATCTTCCAACTTCTCACCACCAGCAAGACGCATCTTAAGCTCGTCAATAGCGCGGATCTTCTTCAGCAGGCCACGGATCTTCTTGTCCTGGGCAGAGGGATCCTCAACGGGCGCGGGAGCAGCGACAGGGACAGGCGCAGGAGCAGGCGCAGCGGCAGGAGCAGGGGCGGACTTGGCCGCACCGTTTCCATTCGTGGGGCCAGAATTCTTGCCGCGGTTACGGTTGCGGTCTGGGCTGGGTCCAGTCGGGGCGTTGGCAGGGGGAGCATCAGTTCCATCTTCCTTGGCCTTCTTAGCCGCCTCACGCTTCTTCTTGTTCTTCGCGGCGGACTTGGACAGGTTCTCGGCAGGCAGGGCGACGCCACCGCCGGGCGCGGCTCCAGGAGGCAGGTACTCCTCCGAGGGCTCAGCACCAGGGATCTCACGACGGCGGGGCTTGCCAAAAGTGTTCATGCTGGCGCCGGGCACGCCGTCGCGGACAAAGGCGGCACCGCCTTCGTCTTCACGCTTGAATGCGAGCGGGGTCAGCTGGCCGCGGGCACCGGGGGGACGGTAGGCACCCGCCGGCTTGACGGGGGCCTTGCGCGTACCCATGTAGGCAGTAGCGGAGGGGTGGGGCACAGGCACCTTAGTGAGCGGCTCGCCGAGCGGGTGCTGCTCGATGCTCTGCGGGCGCCAGGTGACATCGTAGAGCTCGGTCATCTCCTCGTTGTAGGTGAGACCGCCGCTAACGTGCCAAATGCGCACTCCGTTGTCGACGCGCAGACGCGGGCTGGTCGTCGCAGTCAGGATGTACTGTCCGTCGGGCGACCAGGCGCACACGCTGGCGTTGGAGGCCTCGACGGTGGTGATCTTGTGGTAGTTCTTGTCCATATCGTAGAGGTCCATCTGTCCGGCCAGGTTACCGAAACCGGCAACCAGCACGAAGCGGCCATGGGGCGAGAACTGGATAGTATTGCGCGGCGCGAGGGGGAAGTTGTGCTTGGGCACACCGCGGAAGTTGAAGATAGTCGTCTTAGCGGGCATATAGCCGTACACAACACCGAATTCCTTCGAGTTGGGACTCCAGCTAACATCGTGAATGGGACCTTCCTTATCTGTTGATTGTCAGTTGAGTTCAACAAGTGGTAAACCGGGGGGAAACATACCGAGATCAATGCGCGAGTCGAATGCACCGCTGGCGCTCAGCAAGTACAGGGTCGTCTCGCCGTAGTAACTCTTGCCGGTGCGATCCACCTCAGTCTGCGCAAGCACGATCAAAGTGGTTCCAGAAGCGTTCCACTTCAGCTGTACCTTATCACCCTTAAAGAAACTCTTCTGGGACACGGGCGCAGTGAACTGGGGCACGATAAACACCTTAACCTGGGCAGGCTGGCCCTTGCGCTCAGGAATGAACACGGCAATGGACTGGGTCTGGCCAGGCGACAACGCAAAGTCCGCCACTCCCTCCACGCGCAACTTGTTCCAAACAGTGGAGAGGTTGTCGCTCTGGTAGAACTGAACCTCGTTGGTCACGGTACGGGCGCACAGCCGCTCATCGGCAGTGTACTGCAAGTTCCAGCCGGTCTGCGACTTCTGGACGAAACTTCCCACAACCGAGTGATCGTCACCGTCCTCAATGGCACGCCACACCTTCAAGTTCTTAACGGCGTCTCCGTTCTCGTCCTTGGATGTGCGCTGCCAGGTGATCACGTAAGTGCCGAGTGGCGAAAATCCAAGCTCGAACACGTTATCGGCGGGGATGGTCCCAACGACTTGGCCTACGGAAGGATCGATAATGGTGACCCTGTGTTGGAGACGAATGTTAGATTTTGGATATGAAGGTGGGGGTTGACCAACTCACTTCTCGGGTGATGCCCATGCGAAGTACCGGCCACACGGCGAGTAGCCGCTACAGCGGAGGTTGCCCTCTGGTCTGGAAAACGAGTTAGCGAAATTTCTTGTTTGTTATCTGGCTCAATTCTTACTTCGCGAACCCAGAAAGGGGCTCATAGACAGGGGCAGCATCCATGATGCTAATGCCCTTGAGCGTGCGGACTGTGCGACTATCAGCAACCATTCATCTACTCGCGTAGACTAATGCGACCTTAAAGTCGAGAACAAAGACGGGGAAAGGAAATCACGTACAAGCAAGTTGCGTAGGAACAGCCATCTTGATTTCGACTCGCGGGTCTAGAATGAATCGACCAAAAGAAGAGAAATCGAATGCTTTTCGAGAACACAAGGTAAAATGGATTCTTCTAGGAAGAAACACGGATCACAAAGCGAACCTATAAGACCAAAATAACCTCGCAACGAACAACGAACAACGGTCCCGGTGTAATAACGGGGAGTCGAACAAAGGTGAAGCGAAATGGGCTTTTCGGGGGTATTTCTCGGATGGGGATTTCGTGGGGTCTCTGGGCAAGTGAAAACAGCAAGTCGGCGGAATAGAAGACTGCTAGACAAGTCAATGCCAGCAAAAGAGGTCGGGCGAAGAAAGGTAGTTGGGGTGGTTGAAGAGTGAAAGGAAGAAAATTCGGGTTTGGCGATGTGGCTCAGGCGGCATGCCGTCATCTGCGGTATACGCGTTGTGCCGGGAATCCTAACTGTATATATTGTACGCTTCGATTTGAATTGGAGCTTGAATATAACTATATAGTAGCTTGGTGATATATTATTCTATATGTCTAGATACCTATATACCTAGAATCATCCCTAGGTGTCTGGATTTACGTGGAAAAGACAGGTGGCAATGATCTTGGAGGGGAAAGACCCAATCAATTACTGACGACATTTGGATATTTGGAAGATATCATGTCTCAGTACACGGGTTTCTGTTGATAATTACATTCATAGTCTTTATTACTTGGAAACAAACCACAAAAAAAAGAAGAAGCAATCCATTCGAGGCATCAAGCCACTAAAAAAAACGCCTTCGTAACCTCTTGAATCTACCAAAGCATGAACCAGACTCTAGTCCTGAGTTGGTGAGCCAAATCCACTGTTGCTGTGACCTGGCGTGGAGACCAATCGTGGGGTTCTAGCAGTAGTATCAACAACATCCGAGTCAAACGTCATACCATCAACCATGCGAGCATCTTCATTCATAGGCTCGGGGGTCATCGATCCAGCTGGTGACGGCGACATCATGGAGCTCTCTCCGGCATGATGTTGTTGTTGCTGAAGATATGAAGCCAATGGGTTCGAGCGGTTGACATTCGAGCTGCCCATAGAAGTAGGTCGTGCTCCGATACCTCCAGAGGAGATGCGGTTCATTCCAGGAGGACGAGAAATCGGTCCGCTGTAAGTACTGTTGGCGCCCTCGCCAAAACCAACCAGACTAGCATTACCCTCATCACTGGCGTTACCGACACTAGAGGTGCCGTCGTCCTCATGATCCTCGCTCATTTTGTCGACGTCGTATGTGTCGCTACTGCTCGCCCAGGTGGTGCGTCCAGCAATGCTGCCCGTCGCGCTGGCGCTGCCAACTGTGCTGCGCTCCTTGAGTGCTTGACTCTCAAAGTATCCTGAAGCATACGGCGGAAGAACTTGGCCGGATGTCTGGCCGCCGGCGCGAGCTGTGGCAACGCGCTCAAGGCCAGCTAGGCGGGAGATTCGATCTGCGCGCTCGGCCTCCAGGGTTGTAGTGGAGGATGTGGATGACTGGTGCGCATGGTGGCTGTGGGGGAATGGTTGGCCCTGGTGGCCGTCTTTGATGGCTGTTGTCGAGAGAGCAGATAGCGACGTAGTGCCGGAGTTGGGGGTACCTCTGATTTCCCCGTCAATTAGCCAAGTCAGTTCACTCTCCACGTTACGGATAGACACAGGAGAGACGGAGTTATAGAGAGCTCTTACGGTCCCATATCCGATGGAGTGACGGGGTCCGATGGGGGAGGAGGCAAATTGATCAGCGTTGGAGTAGTCATAATGCGCAGATACGAAGGTGAATTAATTCTCTGAAAATAAAGCAGAGTCGGTAATTCAGAGATGTCAACAGAGATGGAGAGTTGAGAAAGAGAGAAGGAGAGATGGTGGACTGAACTTGAGAACTAAATAATTAATTCCACCCCACGTCATACCTCGGTGTCTACAGAAGACTTTAGTGGTCATTGAGACATTTACTACGGGCCACCATATTATATGTGCTAGTTTATCGATTTACTCCACTAAAGGAGCCTCTATTTTCTCAATAGAAACTGAATTATCCGATTGACTTGCTTCAATATTATATTATATAGGCATATTTTACCGATATATTTGATCTCTCTTATGCAAACCTAGAGCTTCGTTGTCACCTGGGCATGATGGACACTAATTACCACCATACACTCTTCGTTCATCTTTCCCTATACAAAGTGTAAAAGGCCATTGTTCAGAATTTACCAGAATTCAATACTGGCAAACACTACGCCAAATTCATGCATTCGTTCATTCATGTATACAATCGCCTATAATAAAATGTGGAAGAGAAAACAGCCCGCTGCTCCCCCTAATCCCTTATCCCTAATCAACCTTCCGATTCTCATAATGCCCCCGCAGATCATCCACCTCTTTCTGAAGTCTGGTGAGATCAGCCAGGATATCAAGGGCATTGGATGGTTGTGGAGCCGGTGTCCGGTTCTCCTTCAACCCCATCACATCACTACTACGGGCAATGGAGTCTCGAGTGCGCCGAGG